CCAAAAAAATGTCGCAACACTGTTCTTAAGTACAAAGTTTTCTCAGCCCATTTTTAGTAGCATTAACACATTATTACACATTAAGAATTAAAAAGTTATGGAGGACATTTTAATCCAGGTATAATTCAGACTGTTTATTCCACCCAGGCTTTCTTTGGTTCTATGCCAAGAGCTTCTGGTTCTGCGGTTAGAAAGACTTTCTCTCTGATTCTTTGAAGCAGGAGTTAATGAACTATTGATCCAGTCACCAATTAACGTGGAGATGTCATCACAGCTAGGCATGGGGGGGGGTTTAGCATTGACACCGTTCTTTAATGAAAGGCTAATTTAGTTTAGCAGTAAAGCTGCTCTGTTTTCTGTTTCTGTCTGCTGCCTTCATTAAAAGCTCTGAAAGGCATAAATCTGTCAGCAGGAAGGGAGACAAATGGCCTCTAATCATCCAGTTACTCAGAGTTGGAGGAATCCTTCCATCACTGTTTATTTGATGACTAGCTTTTACACAAGCAGTCCTGTTACTAAATAAGGGACTTTTAAATGTGATTGATTTTATTTAGAGGTATCCGAGTAAAGTGGGGTAATACAAATGCACACCACACTTTTTAGACCTGTTGAGTTAAAGAACAAAAGCAATCTATTTCGTTTTCCTTCCAACTGTGTTTTCTAACAGATAAAACCTTTAAAAGTCACTGATATTTCTGCAGCTTCTAATAAGCCCAGAATAAAGCGTTAAACTTTCTCTCTCCAGGCGTGCCTGTCCTGCCACCAGCAGATTCACCGCAACGCTCCCATATGTCCGCTCTGCAAGGCCAAGAGCCGCTCCCGCAACCCAAAGAAGCCCAAGAGGAAGCCCGATGAGTAGATCTTCTCACACCTTCATCTTCTCTGGAGGGTTCAAAGTGCTCCCATCCACTGATCTTGGATCATCCAGGTTTATTTCTCCACATGACTGAAATAAAAAGCTCTGAGCTTCCAGGCGGCTTCAGCAAACTCTCTGTTTTAGTCAATTGTTTTAGCAGATAATTCTGATATAGTGATAAGTTGTGTGTCTGTCCTCCTTTCTGATCCGTTAACTATATAAATATAACTGTATGACTTCCATTGTATATTAGTAGCCTCTGAATAGTGTTTCCAAAGTGAACTTGTCCAAATAATGTTGTTTGCCTTTTATTATCTTGTTCTAATGGTTTTTGCAGTGCATGCTGGGACTGTTGTGTATTTGTGCCAATAAAAAGTAAAAGTACATTGTTTTAATCTCTAAGCTAAAAACAGCTTCACAGTTGTTTTATGTTTAAAGGGATGAAAATGAGAGGAAAAAAGCTGTTAACGTGTTTAACTTTAATACAGTGAACAAAAAATAAATTTGATGTTTTCTATTTTGTCTGGTTTTTTTCTAACCTGAACAAAACATCTTTGTTTTTGTCACATTTAACCACAAATGAAGGTCAATGTGTTTCTTGTGATGGTAGAGCATAAATTTATAATAGAGATAACGATTCATTTTATACAAGA